ATGTGATTCCACTGACAAATTTACAAGGCAGAATGAAATACTGAATTAACCTTCAACACATTCTTAGAGCAGTTAGTGAACTGCATATACATATATGTGTATATATATATATATACATATATATATAAATAAAACATAAACTTTGAACTCATTATTATTGTGCATTGAAAATACGTGTAATTCCTTCTTCATTTATTACATTTTCATTGTCATTATTATATGCTAGTGATATCTATCCTCCAATGTTTTAAACAGGTTTATGGAAAGTTGCCACAAAGAAGCATAAATCCTACCCGTCTCATTATATTATAAAGGAGGAATGGGCTTTGAATCTCAACAAACGTTTTATGAAAGAGAACTATAATACTTACGAGCCTGGATTCAGGGAGCCAGACTCCTTGGGTTTGAACCCTAGCTTTGGTATGTCCTAGTCTGGGTGACCTTGGGCAAGTTACTAAAGCCAGTTTCTTCAACTGTAAAATGAAGATGCTAACAATATTTATCTCAGTAGGCTGCTGTGAGTGTTTCATGATTGGTGTTCTGATGCCTAGGACAGAACCAGGCACATGGTAAGTACTCAGCAACTGTGGGCTGTTTTGTTTCTCTTACATGTGAGGAAACAGGTCTGCAGTTCAAGCTTGCTCAGGTGCGGGTGTTCTGTTGTGGCAGAGTTGGTGCTGACACCCAGGTCTCCTGTTCTCAGTCCACTGCTGGGCACTGCAGTGACCACCAGAGCGGTGCAGTGCAGCAAACGAGAATTTTCCCTCTACTGTTGCCCCTAGTCTAAGTAAACTGAAAATGCTATTTCTGTGCACTGAATGTCTACTGTCTACCATAAGGGCAATCTATCAGCCCAGTTCCCAGATGGAGAATCTTTCCCAGGGCCCCTGTTCACCGCCGAGTCAGCGGTCACAGTCTTGGGCTGTCATCCCCCAGCCCAGTGGTTCCCAGCAAGCCACAAAATGTAAGCAGACGCTACCAGGTCCACAATCCCATATCTGTAATTCCAAAATCCAAAAAGCTCTCAAATCTGGAAGCTTTTTCCTTTTTTTTAACATCTTTATCGGAGAATAATTGCCTTACAATGGTGTGTTAGTTTCTGCTTCACAACAAAGCGAATCAGTTATACATATACGTATGTTCCATATCTCTTCCCTCTTGCGTCTCCCTCCCTCCCACCCTCCCCATCCCACCCCTCCAGGCGGTCACAAAGCACCGAGCTGATCTCTCTGTGCTATGTGGCTGTGGAAACTTTTTCTTAACTCATTTGACTGTAAAACTCTTTCAGACCTGAACTTATTTGGCGACACAGCACCTGAACTGACATGAGTTTATTTATCGTGTGTACCTATCCCTCACAGTGTGAGTCCTCGCACAGTTGACTGCAGATGTGCTAATGCTTTTGCTCACAGGGTACTGCCCAGATCTCAAGGGGATACCTATCAGCCAGGGTCTTGGCAGGAAGGGATGGGGTACTCAGCCCAGGTGAATGAGCAGAGTTTATTAAAAGGACTGTCTGTAAAGGTGTGGGTGGGGTGAAGGAACAACAGGGATGTTGCAGGAGGGCAGAAGGAGGGATTACGTGATGAAGCAGAAGCTGTTACCACCCCTAGGCGTGAAGGGCCAGAGTTACGGGAATCCAGAGAGAGCAGCATGGGAGAAGGCTGCAGTTAGGAGCTCTGGCCTTGGGTAGAAGGAACCAGCTGGCAGCAAAATAGAGAAGAAGCCTGGGAAATAAATACCCAACCTGGTTTTTCCGTCTCCCTCTAGATCTTCTGCTGGAGCCTCTCTTTGATCGCACCCTATCTGAAGCCAGAGGCAAGAGAGCTCACAGATGCAGACTATAAAGTGAGCCACTGGCACCAAGCAGGGGCATGAGGGTGGCAAGTGGATCTGAAGGGCAAAAGGTGAATATCTTGTACAGTGTATTCTATAAAATCTAATACATGCTCTCCACCACATTTATGAAACTTGAAAACTCACGAATGCTTAAAGAGTTGTCGTTTATTAAGTCAACAGCGTATATCCACACTCAAAAAATATTAATACATACATGTGAAACTTTTTGTTAGTTTGCAGTGCCATAGAGAATTATTATAAATGAATCATTTATAATAATTCCTTGGCTGCCCTGAAAATTGCAACTATTGCACTCAAGAGGGCTATCTCATTCACTGATTCATTCATTGATTCATATATTCACTCAACAAGATTCCTTACTGAGTGCCAACTCTGCAAAACATGGGCTCTGAGATGTAAAGATAAAAATGTGACACTAGCACTTTCAATAGCTTACAACTTAGGAAAAGACACTAATGTTTTGGAAAATAGTAATACAATCCTAGCACAGTTTCATCTCAAATCTACCTTGCTGCTGGGGGCTCCATTCTGAGAGTTTGTGGCCACATCTGGGCTTGGTGGGACACACCACTCTGCCCTGTTAGCCCCGTGTGATGAGTGCACAGGAGCCAGGCGTGAGCTCAGCGCACACAGGGCTCTGGCTGACTGTGCTTTCACTGTAGGGCAGAGTGGGGTGGTCCCCACTGCAGGAGAAAGAGCAGTTTCCTCAGGAGGGCAGAAGGAGGGGTTCCTTTGGTTTGGAACACCTGAGAAGGCTTCGTGGGGGTAGGTAGGGGGTTTTGAGGATTTCCAGACAGGAAAGGACAGAGAAGAGCAAAGGCAAAGGTAAGAATGCAAGACAGGCTGGTGTAAGTGGGCCACGGAGACCTGGGAGTAAAAAAGTAGTAGGTGACCAAAACAGATTAATGAGAACCTATTCTAAGGAACTTGGACTTAATTTTGTAGCAAGTGGGTTACAACTGAGGGTTTTTGAAAAGGGGAGGTCCTATGTTTTAGGAAAATCACTTTCCCAGCACTTTGAATGTCGGGGAGGGTTGAAGAGGAAGGTGATTGAAGGTAACCTGTGTCCAGGGAAGCTCACTGTCACCCAGGAAAGAGACGGTGACGCTAGAACAAGGACAGTGGTGGTGGGGATAGAATTGAAAGAATGAGAAAAAAATGACAGATGTGATCACTGTTTGGAGCGAGGACCCCAAGGGACTCCAGGGTGTCTAAAATATGAACACTCAAGAGAAAGCGGAGAGCCGCTGCAGCTGGCATGAGGGAGAGCTCTGCAACATTGCACATGAGTTATGGAAAAAATATTTTCAAGGAAGTACCCTGCAGGTATTTAAAATTGTGAGTCTGTAGTTCAGAAACAAACAAACAAAATGCCAAGGAGAAATTCCATGCCCAGAAAAGGTTCCACTACTATAATTCCTTATGGTGATTCCAAAATTCAAAAAGCTGTAAAATTACACGTTTTTAAAAGTTTAGTGTCAAAACTTGTCTGGTGACAAACCTGACCTTCATAAATGTAAGGGTATTAACAGACTTTATTTATCCCACTTAGGGTCCATTTATTTGCTGAAGGAATAATATATTTGAATACAGGGTTCTGTCCCAAATCGCACTGGACAGGAGGTGTTCTATGTTAAATGGTGCATGCACCAAATTACCTTTTAAAAGTAAAAAATATTTATAAATTCTAAAACATATCCCATTCCAAGGTTTTAGATGAGGCATTCTGGACGTGTATCAATACTTATACTATCTCTTTATTTCATATTTTAAGAAAGTATTCTCTTAGTTTCAATGTATCTGGCATTAAACACAGTCGGTAAACAGATGCCTCTTTGTAGCTGCAATTTTTGGAGAATGAAGCATTCTTTGTGCCCAATCCATACACTGATGCTTCCCAAGTTTGTTTATTCAGAAAATTGAGATAATAATACTACCTACCTTACAGAGTTGTTTAAAGACCTAATGTATAGGATCCAACACACAGCGAGTAAGTATTTTAGTAAATGTTATTATTATCCCACCCTTTTAGTCAACAAAACATTTTCTAAAAAGCATTTTGGATGAATTTTTTTTTTTTTTTTTTTTTGCTTTCCCAATCTCTGGAAGTGCAGTGAAAACAAATGTCTCCTTTCTTGATGAATGTGAAGGAAGCAGCAGAGGGAATCAACATTTCTTGAGAGCTAGCATGTACTTGATGCTTTTGACCCCACGAGAAGAATATTATTCTCCCCGTTTCACAGATACAGAAACAGATTCTGAGATGTTAATAGCAGGATCCAGGTCACCCCTCAGCGAGGGGTGAACTCAGTTCTCCTTCCAGTCCGCCTGCTCCCAGCTGAGCGTAAGAGGCAGAAGGTAGAATGCCTTGTCAGGGTGGGCCTCTATATAGCATTCTACTGCTTCTCTTTTTCATTGGCTAAAAGAATGTTCTTTCCATATGTGCTGTTAGTCTGATGGAGGTAAAGACGTACTTCAGACCCCAGATGTCTGACTATGCCCCCTTTTATCCACCTCCCTGCCAGACCCCAGACCCTCCCTCAATAAAGCCCTCTGGGAATAACAGGCTCTCTTCCCAGAGCGATCAAGTCTAATTTGCAGGCCAGCTGAAAGCAGGATGTGAATATGAGCGGCATGGGGAGGACGAAAGGGATGTGGGAGTGAGGTAAGACCCTGATGGTTGCGGCACCGAGGGTGAGGGAGGGAAGTGTCCTGCTTGTCGTAAGAGGGCATTACCTGCCCGCAAGGAAATCACGTTGACTGGAACTGGACTAAGTAAACAGCAACGTGACCCGGTTCTTCAGTTTTTGATGTGGAGGCTTTCAATGAGATGGCATCGCCTCTTCTTCCTTTCCTCGCCAGCCCGCGCACGTTGGAGCCGGCCCCTCTGCTTCTCAGCCGGGGCTCCCCAGGCGCCCTTTCTTTCTCTGACTTCGGGCTGCCCAGCAGGAAATGTTCCTAGCCATGGGACAAGCCTCCCGTTTGAAGGGGTGGGGCTGAGGGTTGAGAAAAGGAACAGGAAAAGAAACAAAGCAAGCAAAACTTTACTAGAGCAGCCAGCCCGAGCCCCTAAGCATCGCGGCGGGTTTCCAGTTTTCTAGACGCAGGGATCCCACACCCCACTTACCCCGTCCTCGGCCGCCTGCACCCCGACGCCCCGCCTCGCCCTCCCCGCCCCACCCCACCCCAGGGGGCCTGGTGGGCGTGTATTTGAATCCGGGCTAATCGGCGGCCGGCGGGCGGGGCGGCCTGCCCGCGCCCCTGACAGCCCAGCGGCGGGAGGAGCCCCTCTGCCCTGGGAGCCGGACGGGCCGCGCCTCCCCGCCGGTGACCGGTCCGGTGCGCTGGCCCATGCTGGTCCCCGCCTTTGTTCTCGGGCCGGAGCGGAGACATGCGCGGCTGACGATGGAAGTAGAGGACTCGGGCGGCGTGGTGCTGACCGCCTACCACTCGTACGCGCGCCCCCAGCCGCCCAGCTCCGAGCCGCGCTGCGCGCCCCGGGCCGCCGCCAGCCACCCAGGCAGCAGGTAACCCACCGCGCCGAAGGGGCAGAGGTCTCCTGGGCTGGGGTGGGGGTGGGGGGTTCATATGCAGCTGGGTTTTCCGCCGGAGCGTAGGACCACCGTCGCTTGATTGTTGTTTCAAGTTTTGGAGGACTGGATGAGTGAGCCTCACGTTCTTTGTATTTGTCCTTGATGGGAAGTCTCAGCCGGCAATGGCTAAAGACGATGACTAGGAGAGGTTAGCAGCGGAGTTGCATTCTTGGTACAACTTGCTGATAATAGGCATATGCCTGATGTCTGCCAAATTCACCTATTGAGCTATTGGAGAATTAAAAAAATTTTTTTAAATGAAACAGAAGGGGAAAATGAAAAAAAAAATAAAATATATTATCTTAATTCTCAGACACTATCGAGAATGTATTTAGTAAATGCATTTCACAGGAGCTAAAGCGCAGCTGGAGAGTCTCCAAAAAGGAAATCTCAGTAGACTTTTAAAAACAATTTTATTTCTAGATTTAAAAAAACCTTCCAATTGTAAACATTGGTGTCACTATTATTGCTAATGTTGACTCTGTCTATAAATGCAATTATAATTTTCCTTTGGATCAAAAGAGGTTTGAAGGCTTCTCACTATGTGCATTTTAGATTTAATATCTATGTTAATTAATTAATGTTAGTCAGTCTATCAGTGTTCATCTATTTGATGCAAGATCAAGGCCAATGAGACTTCTATTAACTAAACGAAAATGTTAGACCGTTAGGAAGTTTCCTTCTGTGGACAAAAATATTACGCTAAGTGAGATGATTTGATATCTGACACATATTGAGGAGAAGTATTATTTGTTTAAATGTGACTGTCTGCAATGGAACCATTGACAAATGGTTTTCTCTACGAGTGGGGAGATTTGAGTAGTGTGCTTTTTGCATGTTTATTTTCAGTCATTTTTTCCTCATACTTTTATCTTTAGTTATGTGATAAAGATTACTTGTTTCCTAATTTAATTGACTTGCAAGGCTTTCAACAGATTGTGACTTTATTTCAAGAAATATCCTCTTGGCTAGCATCCATGCGAAGAGCAAACTGCATTGGCATGAGATCTGTGTTGGGCTTGGCTAACAAAGAAAATATTGTTTCTTCCTAAAAGAGCAGCATGAGTGAAATCTAATTTTTATATACAGACAATGAGAAAAAAACATTTTTCTTCCAGTTTTAAGAGCTGTGCACATTGTTTTAAAGGCTACTTGAAGATACAAACTTGCGTTTGTCTTTGGAGTGTTTTCTTTTCTAAACATGATCCTTGACTATAGTTACTCCTATTATGAGTAACTAAATAGATATACGTGATTTGGTGAGAAGTGGGGGCCAGGTTTGTGCATTTTTAGATGGTCCTGGTGTAGCTGTCCTGTCTGTAGCTCCCTGCAGCTGTCTGGGAGCAAGAGCCAGATTGTGCCATTTGGGCAATCCGAAATTATATCCCTTTCCATAGCAAACTGGAGAAGTTCCATTAACTCAGCATGTGGTCTCGTGGAATAATAATATACGAGAGCAAAAGAGTTGCCTATCATAGTGTTTTACCATACAGTTACCAATTAGATTTATGTTGCTCCAAGTTTGCATTTTTGGTGACTGCCCTGTACCCTCTGTATGGGAGCCTTCGTGCTACTCACCCTCTGATGCAGGAGATAGACGACCCCCGCCCCCTACAACTAAATTGTGAGAGAAGAGCTTAATTCCTTGGTTCTCAGTAACAGCGATCAAAAAGAGGTTCCTGTATTTACAGGGAGCCCGAGGACACTATCAATCATGCGTCTGGTAACAGAAGTAATCAGGCCTGAGTTATTAACCTTTGACTCACTAACTACTGATCAATACTCCCTTTCAAGCCAAGGAGCAAGATTGTATTGTTCCACTTATGAAGAGAGCACTCTCTCTTTCAAGAATACCCTTTCCTTTAAATTGCTTACGTATGTGTAATGTATTTGTGGAGTAGTGACCAGTATGGCACTAGGAAGCATGGGCTATTGTATCTGACTTTCTAAGTATCATCTTTCTTTAGCTCTGAGTAGCATAGTTTCATTTCAAAGCAAGCCATCTCCTTATTTTCCAAGCCCACATACTTCATCTAACTTCATGTGCTTTTGATTTTTTTTTGGCCTATTTTTTCCACTAAAATATAGTCTCTCTCTCTCTCTCTCTCTCTTTACTATTCTCTTTTCTTCACTATTGTATCCCAAGTGCCCAGAGTAGTGTCTGCCCACTGTAGTAGCTCAATAAATTAATGAATTCCTACCAAATGGCCAAGATAAAATGGAAGGATTTTTAACAGTATGTCAACGTATTTGTACCTACTATGTGCCAGAAACGCAATAGGCATTAGTGATACAAAGAGAAATGAGATGAAGAGCCTGCCTTGAGAATGTAGCCCTTGACCTTTCAGACCAATAGGATTTTTAGAAAAAAGCTTGAAATAAGTGGCAACATTTCAAAATCAAGAAGCTTCAGGTATAAATCTGGACGTCAGCTTCCCATTAAAAACAAAAAACAAACAAACAAACAAAACCCCCAAAGGATCCAGCAACTGAGGCTTCCATGGGCTCCATTACACACCTGTCCCTGTTACTCTTCAACACTGAAGCTGGGTGTCCATTGTAATTTCTTTTGGGGCCTGCCCATTTTATTTTATTAAAGTGAGTAGCCAGTATAAAGTGTACTTGCCAGTTACTCAGGCTTGGGGTCAGACTGCCAGACGCTGTTCATCACTTACACCGTTTCCTACCATGTGACCTTGGGCAGCCTGCTTCAGCTGCTTAGACTAGCATCCGACACCAAGGAAGCACCTGATAATTGTTAGCTGCATTATTACTGTTACTGCTTTTAATCACAGCTGTTGACGTAAAGAGGAGTAGAACATTTTTGGTACCTATCCCCCAAACTTACTCATTCAGGGAAGAGACTCAGGAGTACTAAGCATTTGTTGCGAGGAGGGAAAGCAATTCCTTATTTCACAAACATTCTATATTTGCATTCTGTTGTAAGGATAAAAGAGAACGAAGGATTACAAATTCTCAGTTCTGTTGAAACAAATGGTTGGAATTATCTTTAGAATCATGTGATTTTTAGAGAAGCTAAGCTCCTAGACCCTTATTCAGAATCGAGAGTGAAATGTTAACATATGTTCAAAATGATTTCACTTACAAAATGAAAGGTAGCTGAAGATGAAGCTAGAAATCTTGTTTTTCAAAGATTTCCTAAGTTATATACAAGTAACATATACAACATTTTTTAGTGAAGGTATAGTATAAAATGGCTATGAGTATTTCTGATGTTTATCTCAATATACCATAAACTTCCTGAAAGAGGACAAAAATAGAGGAGGAAAAGAGCCAACTGTTCCTGAAAAACAAATATAGAAGCTTCCCGAGGTTATCCTAGGAATTCTAATTCTATAGCAATGTTAAAACTTTTGTCAAGGGCATATTGTTTCCTAATAGCATAACTGTTCATTATAATGGGAATGATTTGATTAAAATGGAATTAGTGATGAATAGAAAGTAAATATTTTGTTTGTGGAAAAGACTAGAGTTGGCAACTTCTCCCCTCCTTTAAAAAATGTTTGGAACCATGGTCTCTATATTCTGCAGCCAGCAGAGGTGGGACCGAGCCATACCTGCCCTTGAACTCCAACCCTGTATGGCCTTCCCTCTCCAGTAAGTGGGTTTCTTTTTTTTAACCCTGGCAGTGTGCAGAGAAAGAGAGGTAACACCCCCTATTCCTCTGCACCAGAGCTCAGTATTTCTACCAGGTAAGCAGGGGTCTTGCTGGGGCTGGGGGAGCCAGAAATGGCAATAAAAGTTTGTTGACCTGGGCTAAAAAAAAAAATCCAGGAATGTACCACATATTTAGTGGTACATTCCTCGATTGAAATTAATTAATTAGAAAGACGTTTATTTCAAGGTGCCAACTCTTGTTCAGTTAAGCATTAATGTAGGTCTGTGTGAGCTTACAAACATATACACAGGTACACCAAATTCTGGGGCATAGTAGGTATACTTTTCTAGAGGATTCAAAAAGAGTAATGGAAATAGGATTCTTAGGAGAGAATGAGGTATTTATAGGTCATTCTTTATGTGATAGCTGAAACCAGAGTTGGTGGCTCTGGTTTCTTTTTACAGTGGGGTCCCTGCTGATTGTAGGTGCCTCCATATGTAGAGCTGTTGGAAAACATCTGGCACATTTCCTTTGATCGTGTCATTTGGCTTAACATTTGGCCAGTTGCTCTGTCCATTTTTAACCTGCTCATTTCCCCCTGATCATTAATCCTTAATGTATCCGAAAAAATTCAGGGAACTTAGAGTGTTGTAGAATCATTTTCATGTGGATGAAAATGATAACTTTCCCTTAACTTTTTATTTTGATGTAATTTTAGGCTTCTGAAAATTTGCAGAAGTGGTGCAGTAAGTTCCCATGTAACCTTCTCCAGCTTCCCTAACCTTCCCTAAGATTAATATCTTGCAGAACTGTGTTCTATTATCAAAACCAAAAAATTAACACTGCTACAGTGCTATTAACTAAACTATAGACTTTATTCTGATTTCACCAGTTTTTCCATTAGAATTGGAATTTTTCTGTTGTAGAATTGAATCTGGGATCCCACATTTGATTTAGTCATGACTTCCAAACCTCCTACAATCCATGACAGTCTGTTGTCTTTTGTGACTTGGCACTTTTGGAGTACCAGTTGGTTGTTTTGTAGGAAGTCCCTCAGTTTGGATGGGTCTTATGTCTTCTCATGACTGGATTGAAGTTATGTGTTTTGGGTGAGAATTCCACAGAATGATGTCAGGCCTTTCAGTGCATCATTTGGGGGGTTCACGATGTCGCTGTCTCGTTAATATTGATGTTAGCTCTGAACACCTGGTTAAGGTGTTGTCTGCCAGGTTTCCCTATGTAATTAATAAACATCTTGGGAGAGATACGTTTTGACTGTGCTAACATCCTGTTTCTCCTCAAACTTTCCTCCTCT